AGATGATGGTGAAATACAGTCTTTAAGAAAATGTTAACAAAACGTTTCCCTCCAATGAATTACAACGCGCTAATAACGAGAGAAACCTTGGCTTTCTTAACAACACAAAAAGAAAACCACGTTCTTAGAAATATTGCACTCCACTTCGCAGCATGATACCATCGCAACACTAGTTCCATGAATGCTTAATTGCGGAAGTTTATTAGACAGCTGCTTTCGCTTGTATTGATCTTCATTAAAACAAACATTTACGCTGAAGGGCTTTACTCCCCACCTTTCCCCGTTTCGCAATTATGAATGGTTAATTATTCGAGAGGGTTGGCAACTCTTTCGCAGTTTTTCATCGTCATGTCAACCATTTACTTCCTCCACGCTCAAAATTGTATTCCAAACGTGCTTTTGCTGAGATAAAAGCGCGGCTTTCAAAAAAGGAACCTTGATTTTTGTATTAAAATGCAAGAATCTTTATTACAATATATATGTGGCGAGCTAAAGGGGTATCATATTTTCCTTTTATTAGAATAAACTATTGTTGGCTGCTTCAACGTCATGTATGCTGCTTAAGTAAAAAGCATTGATAAAAACATGTTAATACTTTTTTAAGACACTGTAGCGTCTCGGCCTATACTAGATCTACAACGGCTTCAAGAAGAATGTCACTTTCAGGTTCATAGAAACACTTTAAATCTTATTTACAAATATTATATGCATATAACGAAATCGATTTACAAAAAAAGAAAAATAAGGATATAAATTAAGTTAGATACACAAGTGCAGTTCACTCCAAGTTAGGCAATTTCCCGAGTTCTCAATTCTAAGACGAATCTAAACACATGGACTGTGGAATACATTAATTAACATGGCATCATACATGAAGCCGCAAGAGGCTGACTTTGAAAACAAGTTGAAATATCTGACCTCTTCAGTCATTTCAGAGAGAAAAAACAAATGCAACACTTCTTGTCGACTCGTCTCAAACTCTCTCTCTTCTTCACCAGAAATCTCCATTTAAACAATCCGTGAAGAGGGAGGGACGGTTTAGCTTCCATCACTTCTCATTGGAGTAGACATTTCCCAGTTCGTGATCTGTCACCCATCACGATGGAACAACTCATGGTATGTCAATGGATTGATAATCAATCTCTAATTGTTTCGACCTGTGAAGGTCGCGCATACATTTGTAAATTTCTTGAGTCTAATTATACATGATAGCGAACATGCCCTATCAGTGTTTGAGTGATAGGATGTTCTCATTAGTACAAAACACTAATTGCATGTAATATAACTACCCACAAAGCTCCTCTCCTGTCAAATTTGAGTGATGGGTTTATTATATATTTTTCAAATAACATACAGTCCTCACACATGTGAATGAAATTCCAAAATTCTTCTCGTGAGAAAAAAATGCTACAATACTAAAAATTGGACGTCATGATCAATTGCCACAAAAGAATGTTTCTTACAGGGCAAAAAGGGTCTGCACGAATAGTGTGATGACATCTGGAGCTCCAATATTTGGAGCTGCAGATGTGAACATCTATACAGAACAGTATAGTGTACACCACCATATGTGACAATATCTACGGCTTTTAACACAAATAGAAAAGGAGTTTCTACAATTACTGCTTTTAATTTTAGTATTTTTTAGATCGGCGTGCCTTTTTTGAATAGAGAAGAAATACTAATTATTTACTTTAATAGGACTATAGTTATTAATTACTAAATTCAATCTCAAAAACAATTTCGTACAAAATCATTTCAATAATAATAAAATCCAATCACTATTTGAGATTTCTGAATGTGACCGCCTCGTATATTATAATTCTATAAAGCGCTCTCTTAAATAAAAAAGTACCTCTTTTATGAGAAGTGATTTACAACGAATTGCGAGGAGACTACTTACAATTTAATCTTCTCTTTGTTCATTACAATGCCGTACTTAAAACTAAAGCGGCGTCATTTTATTTGCCCAATAAAGGAGGCGTTCCTTTGAAGAAATTGGCAATTTCGCGATTTCCACCCATGAGTGGTATAATAAAAATCTAAATGGCCCACTGAGAAACTTAATGAAAAAGTTTATTACATCAAATAATATTCCGATAATGCCCTCGAAATGAGAAATTTATCTTAAATTCCAATCAATACATGAAATGAATTTGATTTCTTTTTGCATTAAGTGCTGTATAAAACACTATACTAGTTAAAAATGTAATGTTAAAATTTATTTACATATTTTGTATGCTATTTTATTTATTATATTAAATTTATTATTTTTGTTATTTTATAAACATATAAAAATAAATTTGACGTTGAATATGCGTTTTTAAAGTTCGATGCGTTTTTCTAATGCTGAAGAAAATATGCAATGAACTTTAACATTTCTTTATTGTATTACTTTCATTTATAAGCAACTTTAATACAAATATCTATCTAACTATTTGTCTATATATATATATATATATATATATACATAATTTAAGTTTGTACAGTAAGATTTTAAAAAGCGTGTTTATTAATAAATGATTTGTTTACGAAGTAAAAGTAAACTCCATCTAAAATACAAAATTTTAAAATAGTTTTTTATTTGAGTTCGACTTTTTACAGTTATATATATATATGTGTTTATTAATTTACGTTAAAATTTAAGTGTGTGCACAGAAAGAATTTAAAAAGTAGTTTTCATCATAGTTCGATTTTTTTATTGTTCATTATATACGTTATATATATATATATATTAATTTTTAAGTTTGTACAGAAAGATTTTAAAACTTATTTGATATTAAATTACTTGTTTATGAAATAAAAATAAACTGATTTGAATCCAAATTTTAAAACTTAAATACTGTTTTTTCCTAATATGTTTTTAAATAATTGATGTTACAAATAAAAACTTTGAAATAAACTAAAGGAAAAAAGTTACAAAAAATAAAATTAAATATTTTCATTAAATAAAAATTTGAGAATTCACGTTGATTAAAAAAAAAAAAAAGGCGTCAAAATAAAGTTTTTTAGGCGATAATTAGTTAATGGAAAATAAGAGTATTTAATTTTTCACATCAGTATTTTCCGTTAATTTTGCTAATAGAGTAAAATATTATCGGAAAAATTATACAAAAAAATGATCACATTAATAAAAGGGAAAAAGGAAATAAAATATTAAATAAAAAAAGGTAACCGATTACTTTTTTAGATTTTAGAATTAAATAGATTAAATAAATTTTATTCAGTTCAAAGGCATCTTTTTTTTTTTGTATAAAGCTTTAGATTTAGACTGAAAAATAAAATTCTCTCAAAGTATTTGGATTGCTGTTATCAATAGTTATATTTTTTTCTTTACTTTCAGCGTTTTTTACTGAAAAATATGTTGATTTTCTTCGAGATTACTCGTCTACTGACTTTTCCGTATTAAATTTGAGAATTATAAAGAGAATAAAATCCTTGCTTAAATTTATAAAAAGTTTATAAAGGCAAAGAATATTTCTTAATGAAGAACTTAAACTTCCAATTTTTTAATTTAATATTTATTTTAAGAAAAATTAAAATATAGCACTAAATAAGTTCTAAATAATGTGTTTTAAAAACATATATTTCAAAGGAATCTCATTCTTTATAAATAATTTTTAATTAATCCTGTAAATATGCCAGTATACCTCACATTAATGGATGAATATAAATCGAAACTTTTTAAAGTGTTTTACGAATTCCCTTAGAATGACTTTTTAAATAAACGAAAATTATATTTAGCATTGAACACATAATGTTTTGAGCATTAACTATTTATTTGTTAGCCTGATATCCGAATGACTTGCACTTTGGCACTCCGTGCCACAGGCTTCAGGTTCGAGTCCCGGCGGCGCAGGGATGCTTGTGCTGGTTTGGAATCTACTTTAAACTGTAGATCCGGGTCTAATATGAGTGTTGGGTGTAGAGCTAACAACTCTACCCTGTAAAAAGAAAAACATCTGTTGTTGCGAAGCGCCCTGATGGCCAATTGGCTAGCGTAGTGGCCTTTGGTACTACAGGCTTCAGGTTCGAATCCTGGTAAGTGGCAGGGATGTTAGTGGTTCTGAATCTACGTTAAAGTGTAGATACAGGTTTAATAAACTTGTAATTTAAAAAAAGGATCGTTGAGTAACAACCCAAACCAATCCTTGTCTCGAAATCTGCCAATAGGCGGACGACCTTGGCCCACCATGGGGTATAGTGCAGGGTGGATTTTAAGCAAATTATTATAAATGAAAACATTATTTTCTTTCTTTAATGTTATTATAAATATGTTATTAAAGTTATTTAGTTTTATTATATAATTATTAAATGCTCAAATATTAAATTTGGCATATAAAATAATTCTCACTATATATTCTTTTTTATTTGTGAGCAGATTGGAAAATTTCTTTGGAAAATTAACGAGTTATTTTTATTTCGCAAACATAAGAGAGTTCAATATTAATATTTATAAATCTAACGGCTGCTTAATGTATTTTAAAATTTCTTTTGCATAAATCATTTCAAGTTTACAAAATAATGATCAGATAAATTTTTTAAAAGATATAATATTGCATATACATACATTATATCTTAGATGTAATATGACCGAATCGTGGCTCAGCGGTAGCGTGCACAACTATGAGCATTAGAGCAGAAGTTCAATCGTCTGGCGACTTGTTGAAACAACAACAAACAACAACGACTTGTTGTAAGTCGTTGTTGTTTGTTGTTGTTTCTTATCCCACTTGGCTGGCCAAGTCCACGAGCCCATACGTACTCATGATGGAAAGGGAAGGAAGCAGCTTCTGTTGTGATGGAGCACCCGTAGGTAGAAGTTTGACTTTGGCACCGTGATGCTCTTACAGTCATAGGAGACCAGGAGCTACGGCTTAAAGTGGATTCCGAACCACTACAAACATCCATGGCATCACCGGGATTTGAACCCGAAACCTGTGGCACCGAGCGCCACATCGCTAGACACTCGGCCATTCAGGTCCCAAATGTGTGAATGCCGACGGCAAGCGGTGTTCTCAGGTGGTCACCCACCCAAGTACTGACCGCGCCCAATGATGCTTGACTTCTAACCTAACTTCTAATCTTCTAACCTACTATATGATCTAACGAGAACCGGTATATTCAGCATGGTATGGCCGTTGGCTTAAACAAGTAGTTGTTTTCGAAATGAGAAAATTCGATATCGTTTGTGATGTTCAACATCTTGCTTCTTTAGTAAGACTACATGGTGGGAATTTACCGGGTTTTCATCCGTACGATACTCGTGGCCTGATGGCAAATTGGTTATGCGCTCTGGCCATTGGTACCATAGGCTTCAGGTTTGAAATCCTGGCGTTAACATGGATGTTTGGTAGAGGTTTAGAATCCTCGTTAAACTGTAGATCCCGATCTAATTAGCCTGAAGTATGCACAAAAGTGTAGCACCGTGGAGAGACAAAAAAATCCCATACGATGCTCATATGCAGGGTAGTTCCCCTAAAATCCTCCTGGAAGGCACTGCCCTCCTATTTCAGCGACTCGGAGCCATCTCGAACTTCTACCTAAGGGTGCTCCATCACCGCAGAAGTTACCCCTTTACCTCCTTTCATGAGTAGACTACTCATGGGATGTCCACCCTCGCACTACAGAACACTGAGGATTAGATACATACATAGACAGTAATAATATTATATAAGCATTCATATTTTTATAGAGAAACTTGGTAAATTAAGGAGAAATATTAATTTCGATTCGTGTTATAAAGAACAAATGACTATTAATATTTTGTTATAATTGCTAATTTTAAAATTTTATAAAATTTGAAATAAAAAAAGATCCACTAAGATTTTAAAGATGTTTTAATTCTTCTTGTAGATTTATCTTCTAATTAAATTTAAAAAAAAAAACTGAATATTTATTATTTTAACATTCTACAATTTGCTGTTTGTTGATATCAAAGATTAATAACACTGTATAAATACAACTGGCCGCAAGATATTTATACTTATTATATTTAATTGAAGCATATTTATGTGGTTATCAAGTAATTTAATATCATTTAAGTTTTAATAAAAATTATCAAAATTTGCCAATAGTGACCATAATTTATTTTAATTGTACATAAGCTAAAAAAATAAATGTTAACATATTTGTAATATTAACGAACATCGAGTTTTTTAAAGTTTATTGATACTTGCTATTTTAAGTAAAAATTTGAAAGAATTTTTAAGCCTTCAAATTCCGAATGCATTTTATTAATTTAGAATACATATTTTAGTCTTTTAGAGAGAATTTTAGCAAACTCGCATATTTTTTACCACGGGGCGTATGCGAATGTGCTTCTGTGGTGATGGCTCCCAAGGAGGAAACCGCGGGAGTTTTCTATTGAAAAGAATAAATGGAAGGTCTTCACGTTTCAGCAGAATGCTCTTTATTATTTTTTTTTCAGAAACATTTCCCCAAGGCCTTTTGGGTTTTCCTTATTTAGTAAATATTACACCGAAAGCTCCTTTTTGCAGAAGAAAACAGACGACTCATCGAAAATAAAGTTGCACTTTTTGGGCTTATGAAATTTGCTTGGGTCTGCATAAAAGCACGCTTCTTTCTTAAATACGCCAAATTGCAGGTGAAAGCTGCGAATGTCAAAATTCAGAAGTTCCTGCATATAAAGCAAATTATTTTTCTAGAAATGACATTTATAAAATATTAACGTTAAACTCTAAAAAGTGAAATTATTAATTGAATTTTAGTCTTAAAATCTTTTGAGTCTTTAATTAATTTTTATTAATATTTGAGTCTTTAATTAATTCTTTATTAATATTTGAGTCGTTAATTAAGTCTTTATTAATCTTTGATTCTTTAATTAATCTTTGAATTTTTAATTATTAGTCTTTGAGTCTTTAATTAAGCGTTTATTAATATCTGTGCATTTAATAAGTTTTTACGAATATTTGAGTCTTTAATTAATCGTTGTGCTTTTAATTAAGTCCTTAGTATTCGTTGAATATTTAAATAATTATTTATTAATACTTGAGTTTTTAATTAAACTTTTATTAATCTTTGACTCTTTATTTAATTTGTCTTAATCTTTTGAGTCTTTAATTAATTTTTACCTATTTTACTGATTTAATTTACTGATTACAAGTCAATATTGAATAATACATTGCTGTAAAATTAATTAATTTATTATTTTAAATACACCCATTCAACGAAATCTAATGTGACTTTATTGTAAGATATTTTTTCACGAACTATATTACTGATAACAGATTATTGAAATAAATTCTTCATTATCTATGATGTATAGTCAACTGAACTTACAACTTTTTGTAAGATACTATTTCACCAACCATATTATTGATAACAGATTATTGAAATTAATTTCTTCATTATCTACACTCAAGAGCCAAAACGTTATGACCACATGTCAATAACGAGTTGGCCCACCTTTGGCGCGCAACACAGCTTCAACCCGCTTTGGCATGGATTAATACCACCACTTAATACCAGTTAAATACCACTTCCACCTGATCACGTGCCTTCCACGTCATCCAGGCGAGTTCATTGCAAAATGTAGGGGTGGTCATAATGTTTTGGCTCTTGAGTGTATGATGTATAATCAATTCGTCCCTCATTTATAGTACCTTCACCTTTAATGACATGGCAACTAAATGAAAATCTTTTATATTATTACTGAATATCAAGTTTTTCTAAATTTATTAATATCAGCTATATTAACAGAAAGAAAAATTTGACAGAATTGTTAACCTTTAAATTCCAAATGCATTTCGATGATTTAGAATACATATTTTCTTTTTTTAATTTCAGCAAACTCATATTTTATGCCACGGGGCGTACGCGAATGGGCTTCTGTGGTGATGGCTCCCAAGGTGGAAACCGCGGGAGTTTTCTATTGAAAAGAATAAATGGAAGGTCTTCACGTTTCAGCAAAAGGCACTTTATTATTTTTTTCAGAAATCTTTCCCCAAGGCCTTTTGGGTGTTCCTCATTTTGTAAATATGACACCGAAAGGTCCTTTCTGCAGAAGAAAACAGACGACTCATCGAAAATAAAGTCGCACTTTTTGGGCTTATGAAAGTTGCTTGGGTCTGCATAAAAGCGCGCCTGCTTCTTAAATACGCTAAATTGCAGGCGAAGTTGCGAAAGTCGAAATTCAGGGAGTTCATGCATATAAAGCAATTTCTTTTTATAGAAATTACATTTATAAAAAATATTAACATTAAACTTTAAAAAAAAAGGAAATTATTAATAAATTTTTAGTTTTAAAATCTTTGAGTCTTTAATTAAGTCTTTATTAATATTTGAGTTTTTAATTAAGTCTTCATTAATCTTTAAGTCTTTAATTAAGTATTTATTAATCTTTTATTCTTTATTGGAATCTTTAATTAGCCTTACTCTCTTGAGTCTTTAATTATTTTTATTAATCGTTGAGTCTTTAATTAGTCTTAATCTTTGGAGACTTTAATTAATTCTAACCGATTTTACTGATTTACTTTACTGATTACATGTCAGTATTGAATAATACATTTCTATAGCACTGATTTATTTATCATTTTAAACATACCCATTCAACAAAATTCAAAATGACTCTATTGTAAGATATTTTTCACCAACCATATTACTGATAACAGATTTTTGAAACCAATTTCTTCACAAACTATGATATATAGTCAAATGTTCCGTCATATTCCTTCGCCTTTAATGACAAATGAGAACCTATTTGTAATGTTAACGAGCATCAAGTTTTTCGAGCTAGATTTAATTAATTCTTATCGATTTAACTGATTTAATTTACTGATTACCAGTCGGTATTGAATAATACATTTCTATAACATTCATTTATTTATTATTTTAAATGTAGACATTAATCGATATCCAAAAATGACATTACTGTTAAGATACTTTTTCACCAATCATATTACTGATAACAAATTATTGAAACCAATTTCTTCATAATCTTTGATGTATAGTCAATTCGCCCATCATATACATTCGTCTTTAAGTATAATGGAAATAAATGCTACAATCATGATAAATTTTCCAATTTTGATTTCCAATTTATAAGCAGACTATTATCATAAAAACTTCCTATTTTATTTTCATTATTGCAAAAATTTCGTTAATAAACTAGAGTGATAATGAGATACAAAATTAAGAATTAAAAGTTCAAATTCCATTTTTAATTTTCTTTTGGCACACTGATATTTTAACATAATTCATCCGAAAAATATGACAGATTTTCTAGATAAAGCTGTAAAAGACATTGTTAAATTTATAAAATATTGATGTTAAAGTGAGAAATTAAAAAATGAAATTATTACGGCTATAATTAATTTTTATCGATTTCACTAAATTAATTTGCTGTTTACAAGTCAGTAAGGAATTATTTATTTTTATAACAATCATTTAGTTATCATTTTAAATACATCCATTCAACTAAATCCAATTTGACTTTATTGTATATACTTATTCACCAATCATATTAATTGAAACCAATTTCTTCATTATATATGACGATAGTCAACTCGCTTGTCATATACATTCGTCTTTAATAAGAAGATAACTAAATACTACGAATTGCGAAATAAAATACTTACAAGATTAAAAGGTGCTTTATTTATAAAGGTGTACGGAAGTAGAATGTGAAGTTGTTTCAAGTTAATCAATTCATCAGAAAGTCGCATTGCAAATGAAAGGGAAACATCAAGTCAAAATGGACTGTCACTTCGTCTACACCTGCGAACCAAAATAGAAACTGAAATTGGTGAAAGTATAAATAAGAAATTGCATTGTCATTCAAGTGTCAACATTAAATCAATCAATTATTTAAATACATTAAAAGGATACGAGGAAAAAAAAAAACTTTCAGACAGAGTTAAATAAGATAAAAAAATTAGCACATTTTTTATGTTACACAAATAATATGTTTCATGTTGTGATAATGGAGAACAATAGATATCTCATTTTTAATACACGGGCATTTCTTATATATCTGAATGAATGAGATAAGAGCTTCGTATCTTGAAAAATATTTTTTGTTATCTGTTGAAATCATGATTTTTAAATTAAGATTTTTACAAAATAAAAATAATTTTTTTTTTCAAGTTGGAATGTTAAAAGTAGCATTTCGAATTTTACTTA